GGGAAAGAGGAATAAATGACTGAGAAAACTTGTTAGGGAATCACTTTTTTTTCTACCTGGTAAACACCGTTTATTCTGTTCTCAAAAGATTGTCACGAGAAAAAAAAAAAAAGATCAGAGGTAGCAAGAAAGCGCAATGTCACATCGATTCTATCACTTGGCAACATCAGCCCTCCTGAAGATCTGGGAAGCCTACATTATACACCCTGGGTGAAAACTCTTCACCATATCTAGCTTTCCTGAAATCAGAGTACTCTGGGACACTTAAAGGCAATTAATGAGTATATCTTGGTCAAAAGAATTGTAGGAACTTTATTAAAGCTTTGGTTTCAGCTCTGCGTTAGGGAGTGTGTGCTATAAAATTAGCTGCCAGCATAAGCTTATAATTTTCCCCATTCCCACTTAGTGCTCAATCACTGTATTCTATTTCCTTTAAAAGTTCCTTTTTAAAATTATATGTTCACTTTACCCTTATGATTGGGAAAAATCTGTTTTAAGCAGGAAACGACAAGATCCATTCACTTTCAATGAGTGATATTTTCTAAAATATTTAGAGAAATAAACATTCATGAGATGCACTAAAGCTTAGACAGGGGTTAGAGAAACATTGTAAGAGGGCTCTTTGATTTCGTGTCCTGATTCTAAATAGGATCAAAGAATTATTCCTTTAATGTGGATTTAGGATATGCAATAATCCTGGCACATAATTTTAGTAGATGTTTATAACACCTATCACTTTGTTTTGCCACAAGAAGAATTTGTTCAGCTGTCTGTTTTCCGGATATCTCCTCACAGGAGGAGACAGAGAGTACCACTCTCTGAATAAGCATTACTTATTAATTGACAGAGATCACAGAGATTATAATTAATTGGATCAGTTAACTTGATAAATGTTGATTGAGTACCCACAAATATGTGTCTAACACAACTCACAGTAGGGATTAGAAAGTTAGTTTTAGAAAATAAGTAGTATAAAGACATTACCCTCGTGGAGTTTATACTCTCCTACTTGGAAGTTTTAGGTATAAAAGTAATATTTAATACAGTTAGATGATAAGGAGACAAAGGCCAGAGCACACCTCTGTTATTGGTGTGCTATCAAGAAATCACAATAAACATTTTCATCTCATTTTTAAAAGAAATAATGTCCTTTTTTCCATTCCTTTCTTTCCTCTCGTGGGAAACTACTCAGTAGATTAGTATTTAGGGGTTCTTGGTGTGAATTACCTCCCGGTTTACTGTTTACTGCTAACCTGATACATTTGTTAACTGCATTCCTTTGGAGCAATGTTAAGTTGTCATGGTTCATCTAACAAAAGAACACCTCAAATTACAGCATCCTTGCTGATCTTAAAGTCAGGTATTATTGAAATAAACAAAATGTTCCTAGAGTGACTTTTTCTGGAAAATGTCAATTATGAATCAAACTGTTGAGACTGTTGGCTTGAAAATGATGGATTACAGCTGCTACTCAGAAAATAGCAGGTGGAAGGCTTAACTTTAATACAACAGTTTTTCACAGTTTGAGGTTTTAAAAGAAAAGCCATTTAAAGTATTGCAAAGAGATTCTTTTTTATCATTGCCAGAAAGTTCTTTTAAAAATACAAAGGTAGAAGAAAGTGATTTATTTTCCATCTTCAGTATACATACCATAGTAAAAAAACTTCTCAGATATTAATTTGAGGAAGTGATAAACATATCAATAGAATAGAAACATATCAAGGGTTTGGAGGTAAATAATTCCCTGGGATCAGATATATGTAAACATATTTGCTTTAGTGAATGATAAAGGCATGAAATTCAGTCTTAGCAAATGAGGTGGTCTTTAAAGTCTGCTGGATACAAGTATTGAAGTTTTAAGTAATCTTTGTATACTTTGTCTGAAAGTTTGTTTTGCATACCACATACCGATTAATAAGGTCTAAAACATGAGTTACATAATGTTCTACCTATGGAGCCCACTGTTGGGATGGTAAAAATTGTGAGCTGTGATACGGGAATGAATTAAAATGTATTATCATTGACATGTATTTTCTCTACATGTCCACTCGTCACAATGGCTAGATTCCTTGTTACCCATCATTGAATGGAGACAGTTTTAACTACAGAAGATGTCAGAGGAAGAACAAATGGTAGTAGAGAAAGAAAGGCAAAAAGTCGAACTTGCTTCTGTGCTGTCCAAGAGAGCTCTTTTTCCTCATTCTGCCAGCCATCGGGATCTTTCAACATAGGTGCCAAGTACAAATAGTGCCAATTAGAAAGTGACTAAATATAGTGGTCAGCTTATCAGATAATCTCGAGATAATGATCTAACGGTCATGTTACATGGGAACTACTTTAGATTACTACCAATATGGTTAAGACTTTATAATTGCAGAGTCTATAAGATCTATTTTGTCATTTCTTCAACCATTTTATTTAAGATCTGTGAAGCTTCTTGAGACTGAATAAAAGAATAAGTGGCAAGGAGTAGATTGTGACTTCTTTTCCCCCTTGGGAATACTATTTGCCACCATCCCCCTTTCCTTGGTGAAGGTTAACTGATTTGGAAATTAGTTGAATATTATCATTTTATTTTTAACTAAAATGTACAACACGCTGCGATTTCCTCAAGCTAATTTCACAATGGTCATTACAGTCATTCTCAGGGTCGAGAGGGGAATACAAATAACCTGCCTCAATTTCTACTGCACTGATAAGTGTTTGAAGAGTGTTGGTATTCAAGAATATGGCAGTAAGTAGATTTTGAATGAAATTTTAAGGATAAGCTGGCTCATCTGTATGCACCTATAAATTCTGCAGATGGTCCCCTGTTGACGTAAAAGAATGCATGATCCCATAGTTAGCCAATAAATGGAGCCTAACCCCCTAGGCTGAAGAATCTGTGCTTAACTTGATGTGGTGGCTGAGAGAAAAGTAGTGTGAGGAAATAGTTTTTCAATCAGTTTATAGTTAGAAATGGGAGAATACCAGTTTAACTATGGAATTTTTAGAATGTGTTCTCTTGCATCTAAGTCTGATTGTAATGAAAAAGCCCCAGCCATTGCTTGTGTCAAATTTCTCTGGTTGTGTAGTGATTCAATTGAGATTATCTTTAAGGATAATCAAGTAGAAAGAAAGAAAGAAACATTTTATAAATAAGCCTTGGCTCTCATGAGCAATTGTTTAAAGATTAGTTAAAAGGATTTAAGGTCACTGAAAGTGTAATAATGGAAATGTGGAAAATATGGTGGGTAAAGGAGACTACCTCATTCTTTGAAGGTTTTGCAGGAGCACAGTTAAGCATTCTGAAATGGCTTTGTTACATATGAACCACCTGGGGTGAAAGAACTGT